GGAACTGGGACAGGCAAGGTGATGGAGATGGGGATGAAGATGGGGATTAGGACGGGGATGAAGATAGGGTTGAGGAGGGGGATGGGAATGGGGACAAGGATGGTAGTGGAGATAGAGATGGGGACACGGACCCCACTGTGCCTTCCCCCAACCACAGAGATCCAGGACCCGGCCATGCGGGGCCGGTGCATCCGGGACCTGGTGCTCTCCCTCCCGCCCGCCCACCACGACACCATGAAGGTCCTTTTCCGCCACCTCTGCAGGTGACACCCCCTCGCTCCCCCAAACCCACCCTGGGAGCTGGGAGGGGGAACACAACTCAGAGTCAGGGACAGGCCCCAGGTTTGGGGATGTACCAGTGACACTCCCCCGTCCCCGCAGGGTGATCGAGCACAGGGAGGAGAACAGGATGTCGGTGCAGAGCGTCGCCATCGTCTTCGGGCCCACCCTGCTGCGGCCGGCGAGCGAGGAGAGCAACATGGCCATGCACATGGTCTTCCAGAACCAGGTGGTGGAGCACATCCTCAACCACTACGGCCACATCTTCCCAGAGGGATAAACCCCCAGGACACACCCTCAGCAGCGGGGACATGACGGAGCAGCGCCTCCAGGAAGGACTCGGACACGTGTCACCGCAGATGATGGGTGGTGGCCGTGGCTCTACGAAGGACAGAATGGTGGCCCAGCTCAAAGGATGGGCATCCCGAGGGGTCCTCCTCAGCCACCCACTCCCACTGGGGCCGGATCCACCCCAGGGGGGTGTGGGGTTTGTGGGGCCCCCACTGGTCAATGGACTATGGAGCCCTGTGGCCTGCAGCTCGCCGGGGCCAGCAGCACTGAGCCGGCATTCCCAGAATGAGAGGATGGAGATGCCCAGGCTGGCAGTGCCTGCAGGGACATGGCACCAGCGGGAGGGAGGGCAGGGAGAAGCCAGGCTGTGCCATGGCCGGAGCCCACCGCCCAATTCCCAAATAAAGAGCCCGTTCAGCCGCCGGGGTCAAGTGTTGTTGGCAGGACATGGGGACATCCCAGGGACCTGGGGGCACTGGGGGCACATTAATGGACCCCTGGGGACACCATTTGCCCTTTGTACCTTATGAGGACAAGGGAACCTGCAATTGAAGGTCACCAGGGTGACCTGGGACACCCTTCCCAAATGGAATCACCAAATCCCATGTCACCAGAAGTGTCACCGCAGGCAGTGGGGACAGGTCATGAAAACCATCATGGGACTTGGGATGTGAGTTCCCATCACCCAGAGCCACCCACTTGGAGTGGGAACACTTTGAGTCATGATGGGGATGATTTGGGACACAACCAGGACCATGTGGGATGCAAAAGGGACAGCAAGGGACATGACTGAAGTGCTTTGGGACATGGCAGGGACAAAAGGAGGATGGTTGAGGACACAGGGGTGACACTTTGGGACACAACAAGGACAGCTCAGCACATGGCAGGGGTTTGGGACATGGCAGGGGTGGCTGGAGCACAGAGGGAACACTTGGGGACACAGCAAGGGCACTTTGGGGTCTGGTGGGGATATGTGGGGATGTAATGGGGACAACTATTGGGGTGGAGCCACTTTGGGATGCAGTGAGGCCACTTTGGGGACACAAGGGGATGAATCAGGGATGCAGTGTGGGAGTTTGGGACACTTTGAGACAGTAAGGGATGCAGTAGGGACACTTTGGGACACTCTGAGACACTTTGGAATGCAGCAGGGAAACTTTTGGGACACTCTGGGATGCAGCAGGCACACTTTAGGAACTTTGGGAGCCTCACGGGACCCCCCGGGCCCCCTCGGGGCGGGCGGGGGCGGTGCCGGGGGCAGAGCCCGGCCGGTCCCCGCTCCCATCCCGATCCCACCCCGCTCCCTCTGTGCTCCCTCCCCGCTCCCATCCCGATCCCACCCCGCTCCCGGCCCCGCTCCGCGCCCCCCGCCCGGCTCCATCTTGTTCGCGGCCTCCGCGGAGCGGCTCCAGGTGCGGGGGGGG